TAAAAAGCAAGTACTGTCCAAACCCAGTCATAGATTTATTCATAGATCCAGTCAAAGATGTATTTTAGTTATTTCTGGTTTAAATTGAGATCCCTTCCCTTTATAACTCACTTATCCTCCGCCATTCCCAAGTCAAGGGTCATATATACTGACCCAATAGCATATCTTGAAAACTAGAGCCAATCAACAATTTTAAGCATCATTTTCATTCTCAGTGAACCAGAATTAGTAAAGTTTGACTAACATTTATTTCAGAAGCATTTTGGCTGTAGAGCAGTGTAATTAAAGAGTGATTAGAGTCATAGAGTTTAAGGCCACAATACCTATAGCCCAGTGGTTAGGGACCTCACCTGACAAGTGGGAGACCCCTGTTCAAATCTTTTCTCCCCACCAGGCAGAGGGAGGAATTGAACTTGGGTCTCCCAAATCCCAGTCAGGTACCCTAACCCATTGGGCTAAAAGTTATAAGGTTGGCAGCACCACGGTCTTCTCCTCCTCTGGTCAGACTTTGAGTGGGACCTGATCCAGAAGGTGGCCTATGAGCACCCCTACCAGATCAGATCCTGCATGTGAATTAGGTGGCAAATATCTATTTTGCTTGGTTCATGAATTGCTGTGGGGCTTAGGCAAAAGATAGGTGTCTGGATGCCTAGAGTGAGGTAGCAGGGTGCGTGCTCAAAGGCAGAAATTTAATTACCTAGAGAACTTCTATCCTGACATATGTAAGTGTTAAGCGAGTTTAGGTGCCTACAGAGTTTGGCAGGAGTTTTGTGAATCGTGGTGGACCTAAATCTGGAGTTTAGGCACCTAAGTACCTTTGGGATACCAGGTCTTAGTGCAGTGGAGTCCCCACCTACCTTACACCTTAGAACTCCATCTTGGGCCCTTAATAATGCATCAGTTGAGACTTGCTTCCCCCCATGCCAAACACCTTCCTATTGCCTTCCCAAGACGTCTTATCCTTTCTCAGTGCAAAGTAATTCAAAGGCTGGATCTAGGCTATAAACAAACAGTCTTTGGGACTGCTTTCCTCTTTAAGCACACACAGGCTTTTGGAGTTCCTTCTCATCTCCAGAAGAAATAAAGCAAAGCTGGTGAGCAAACGGCTATGAAAACACAGTCTTTTGGGGCTTTCTCCTCTTCTTTGGATTACAACCTTTCTGGGAAGACTATAGTCAAACCTAGAACAAATAAAACATACTTACAACATCTTAGATATTACAGCACTCACCGTCGGCAACTACCAAGAGATGTTTTCATGTCACCATGCACCCTGGTATCATCTAATACATATTTACTAATTATTAACCCAGAAAAGTATCTGATATCTTAGTGGCACAGCCAGTCTAACATTTTGAAATCAGTCTGCAGAAGTATTTTTCATTCACTTCCTTTTATACATAACTAAAGCCGCTCCACTGTGATCTGATCATTATGCACAGGACCAACCTGAGGATTTGGGGGAGGATCAGTCAGATGATTATGTGGCCCTCTTAAAATCTAGTCTCATTTTAGAATATAAAGGGGTTGCTCTGTGTGGGCTACTGCTCTTCAGAAGTGGTGCTCAGCTGTTTGCACAGGAATCAATCACAGTTGCCCACACTGACTAGCCCTTTTAAAGGGAAGACTGTCCAAACAGGACTGGGAGGTCTTGGCGCTTCCATGTCCAACATATTCTATGAATCTCCCTT